TTTTTTAATTATGAAATTATTGTAACATCATCTTTATGATATTAAGCTGGAATGGACTTATGCCTGAATATTTGTGAAACTGATATGAACTATAAACAGACTGACCTCTTGATGTCTCTATCTAAAATTAAGCATTGCTGAGTTCAATGGGAGCCAGCAATATATTATTAATAAGATAAATCACTAGGATTACCAGGTCTGGATTATTCCAGGTACTGAGATTTCAGGGTCAAAACTTGACACCTAGTGATGACTCCCTTATGATATTGGGAGGGGGCAAGCATTGGTTGATGTCAGAAAGATGATGTTACAAGAGGTAACATCTCATGATGCCATTAAGCATGATGCATTAACCATCAGTGCACATTTTTCAAGACAGCTCCCTCACCCAGAGATTCCTCCCATCATCTTGAGGATTTAAAGAGAGGCCAGGTCCTGAGATGTGGGAACCAGCTCACTTAATGTGCTGAGACTAGAGCATAGTTTCACAATCTGGAGCTTTAAGTGTCATTATAGATGTCCTGATCCACATTGCCACTATGGACTCCTGCCAATTTGCCACTGAATTCATACAGATTGATTTTCCCCTCCTGCTACTAGTAATAAGGAAAGAACTGTTTGCTTTAGGTAGCTGGTGAAGAAGGGGAAGAGTATGAGGCTCTTTCAGTATGAGACTCTGTCATGGAGGAAGCAGAGAACTTTATCGTCACCTTTTCTTTTCCCATTGATCTTAAAAATTATTGTTTTATCTGTGTGGAAGAAGAGTGGAAAGAAGAGCTCTCTCAGTATTGAAAGAGGATTTTCTGAGGAGTCTGTGTATGAGAGAGAAAAACATGAGAGGCTACCATATTATTATTATTATTATTATTATTACACCTGAAAAAAACGTAATAGTCATAGCAGAACTTTTAAAGATTTGTTCAGAGAAGATTTATCATAGCTTTCTAAGAGACTGAGAAGGTATGGCTTATCCAAGATTACCCAGTTGTTTCACGGCCAAGCAAGGAATTGAACCCTGGTCTCCAGAGCTGTAGTCCAGCACTGAAGCCATTACACCATGTTGGCTATATCAACATCATTCTAAAAGTGTTTGTCTCTGTTATTAATAACTGTGTAACTGTCCTCCTCACCTCCCTACACTCAGTTATTCTGGAACAGAAAATTAAAATCCCATGGTTAGCCTTCTCTACTTAAACTGATTTTAAAGAAAACAAAACAAAAAGCTCCAATATCTTAGTTCTGTGGCTAGTTCACCTATTCCTTTCCTCCCCACCCCAACACATAAACATCATTAAGAAACAGATTTTTCAATATTCTCATGTCAATCAGTGTTCCCAGTGTTAGATTTGGAGTCAATGATATTGAATTGCTTTCCTTTTATTACATTGTTGTGTACTCAGAAATGGAAAGTACACCTTTGAAGATTACACAGAGCTTGAATGAACCTCAGGGCAAGTACTATATTTTTCACATTGCTTTTTGTCACAGAAATCAAAGACAATTAAAACATTCAGTAATTCCTACTAATGAAGATACCCCATTGAAAATAAGGGCACATCTGAAGGGACATGCTTTTTTTTGTTTTATAATTTGAGCTGGATTGAGCTCAGGATGTTTCATACTCTTAAAATATTATTAATAAGAAAACAAGCCTGTACCCTAAGTGTCTATCAGTCCAAATATTTATCTTATGTGAGTAGACACAATGGGGAGGGTCTATGTGTTCCATTCTTTCTACAGCATACAGCACAATAATAATTCCAAGATGGACTTTAAAATATGTTATCAAAGCTACTGTGCTCCTCATTGGAGACTTCATGTACAGATGGGTTTGATTCTGGCACTTCTTTTGAAGCTGAAATTTCAGTCATTATACAATCCAAGAATAAACGACTTATGTGGCCATCTAGCTAGGGATGGAAAATATTTTTAAATATTTATAAATAATGGTCAAAATGTGTTTCTTTAATGTTGAGAAAATCTGATGAAGAAGATCCTGGACTGATGAGAATCTCTGCAGGTCAACTTACTCTGTGCAAAATTTGCAGATTTTTCTTGCACAAAATGCTTTTTTGTTCTGTATTTCCAGAACAAAAATGCTTATTACTGCACAAAAACCATCAACAAATTTTGTGCAGAATAAGTCCCAAACTATGGGACTTAAATATGCTTATTCTTCAAAAACTGCCATTTTCAAAGCCTTTTTTTCACAGTGTCTTGAACCTTTGCTAAAGTTATTTATCGTTTCCTTCAAGAATCAAATAGTGAAGAATTACAAGCCTAGTATTTACAGGTCATGATCCCCTGAGATTTGTACATCTGAACATATTTACATTAGACACAGAGTTGTCATTTGATAGAATATTATAACACTTTTTTCTTCATAAACCTTGTATAATTTCCCAACAAGTTTCCTTAAACAAGTGGCACTAATCTACAGAGTTCTAATTTCTTAGTAATGATCAATGGTCTTACTTTAGGTCCAGTTGGTTAACCAAAGCCCAAATCACATAGGCTAAAAGCTCTGGCTTCAGGCCACGTTAAAGGTGTGGTGTTTAGATGACACACACCCTGAACATGATTGGAAGCCGTGCCGACACTGTGCCATCCCAGAAGAACCGGGCCAAGAAGGAGCAACCTGAATCACCACCAAGTGTGTGCTGTCGACACAGTCCTGGTATGAATAGTGCCAGAGTGACACGAGGCCACTCCATCCAGGCTGTCTGTTTCACCCCTATGTCATGTGATTGTGGGTTGCCTTAACTCCCATCATCTTGCTCTAGAGCAGGGGTAGGCAA